TCATTGAGATAAGCTCTTAAATAAAAATAATCAAAAAAAAAAATTTTTTTCATGTTATTAAAAATTTCATAATAATATGTATACTGTGAACATTGGTCAAAAATTATTTGATCAGATCAAAGTAAAAAAATCCAAATCTAGGGGAGGGTTAGGATACTTATTAATATTAATTTCTTATACTTTAAAAAATGTTTACAAATTAGATATGTTCATTGTATTGATTTCTGTAATATTACTATTATTATTGCTATTACAAATTTCAATCCTTGAATTCTTTGTAATACAAATGTTCACTTTGTCTGGTTATGTTGCAGCATCCCCCATATAGGAATGTAAAAGAAAAATTTTAATATATTAATATTTATTTAGCACTTGACAATTTTCAAAAATCATGTGACTGTGAAATTTTTACTGCATTTTTGATTGGAAATTTTTTCTCAAAGTTGGTGGCGTGGCACAGAAAGTTGTGGGACTAAGTGACCTGCACTATGAGTTATGTTCAAAAATGCAATAAAATTTCCGAGTCACGTGACATTTAATGGTGACACGAATTTAAAAAATTTTCCGTTTAAGGGTAGAGTGTATGTAACATGATTTTTACTATGATACAGTATTAGTATATAGATAATTTTTTGACTGCCGATCATTCCTTGGTTTCTTATTTCATGATAAAACTTACAGAAATCAATTTTGTATTATTATAAATCAAAAAATTGATCAAATAATCAATAAAATAAAACCAAGTAAAAGCCAATTCAAAAATAAATCAGACAAACTTACTAGTGATAAACAATATTCACAAGAAATAGAAAATATATGAAAGGATTTCAAGCAATTATTTGACAAAACAACTGGGTTGAACCCCAATTTTTCATTTGGTAAAATGGCCATGGAAATTCGTGAATTATTTGGTGAGAAAAAAGTTGCTGCTTCTATTGTTAAAAATTTCTATCAACAAAAAACAAACCCTAGAAGCAATCCAACAGTGGGTTGAGAAAGAAAAGATGAAAGAAGTAGAGAGTGAAGATAAAAAAGATAATGAAAACAACAAAGATATGAATATTAACAATGATATTATCAAAATTAATAATAGTAGTAGTAATAGTGAAAGTTGGATTTTTGTCTGAGTGCCCAAAGAATAGGTAATGGCTTTGGGTCCTCCCATGGAAGTCTGACGATTTTTTAACTTATATTTTTATGTATTTTTCTATTGTAATTTTCTTTTTATTGTTTAATTAATGATCCATAGGATCGGTGGGGCAAAAATGGTAAAAAATCATCAATTGACAATGTTTAACAAATAATAAATCATAATATTTTTGTATTACAAATCTTGCTCTTTTTATGAATGTGTAAGTAAATCTCATAGAATAATATGTCAAAATATTAAAGGGATTGGAGTGTTCTTCAAAAACTTTTGTATGCTTGTCACCGAGATTTCAAGAAATCAATAACATATAAAAATTCGGAATTTTTTAACTTTCAGCCAACATTAAAAAGTATTCTGACCAAAATTATACTTTTTTTTTATTGGTTTATCAACAAAAAAATTTTTATTTTAATGAAACCTATCAAATGAACTTATATGTTGTTACAGTAAAATTAAAAAATAACTGAAATTTCTTATTTTATTAATAATAATTGGCAACAAAATTTCATAACAAAATGATCAACATCTCACTGATTCATTCACAGATTGTCAATTAATCATTGTCCGTAAAAATAAATTCCAAGTCATGTGCCCACTAATTTATCATTGGTTGAAATTATGCACAAATCAATAAAAAAAAATTTTTTTTAAAATTAATTTTACAATCTTTTAAATGGCAATGTACAAAGAAATTAAAGAACAATTAAATATTGCAATTAAAAACCATGAAAAGGCAGAGAATAAGTTGAAGGAATTCGAAGAATGGGAGGACAATGGAATGTTGTTGAAGAAGTTGAGGAGAAAGAGGAAAGAACTTGATGAAGATGATAAAGAGGAGAAGAAGAGACTGGAAGAGAAAGAGGAGAAGCTGGTGAAGAACGTGGAAGATAGGTGGTGGAGAAGTTGCAAGATGCATTAGTAGAATTTGGTGGGGGGAAGGTAATGAACAAATTGCATAAAAAAATTAAACAAAAAATTATAATTATTTTTGCGTTCATTTCATTTTATTTATTTATTTGTTTGAGTGAATATATATTGCTGTTTTGAAGTGTTGGTTTTTACCTCTTGCTAGCCAGATGATGGAAAGAAAGGGAGGAAATAGTAGATTATACAGGAAAAGAGAATTAAAACCTTTACTGTTTTATATATTCTTTGTGAACCATATAAAAAATTCATTTATCTAATTTATTCATCTATTTTCTGATACTTGTTATACTTATACCAGTTAGAGACAATGGACATGGATTCAAGTAAGTTGGTCAAGTGTGGCACTGTTATATGATGGTTTCTCATTTAATGTAATCAGTGGAAATTTAATGTTTTTCATACATTCTATATTAGAGCTGTTGGTGGATAGTACTGAAAGTGAAGAAGAGGAAATTGTCCATAAAGCTTTTGATAGAACTTTTCAAGATCCAAGTGACCTTTCAAAAAGGTTTATGAACTTTATTGAGAATTGTTTGTGTGAATATGAAATGTCAAAAGAATATTATCCACCATACACAACCTTAGTTCAATCCCAGTGGCACAGGAAAATCAAAATTATTGAAGAATTTTGCAGAAAACCAAATGACAGTGTATTGTTGTTTGCATGACTCCAAATCAAGTGGCTATCCATCCAGATCACATGTTGCTGATATACTATTACATGAGTTTGAGAAATGAACGGGATGTCTTAGTCACCTATCTTGCATACATATGTGCATGTTTTCAAAAATTGAAGGAATTCAAGGGGAGTTGCAAAGAATGGATTGATGAGCATACTGGCAAAAATTCACAGGTGAATTTCTGGAAGGATATTGAATGCAGGATGACTGATATCACATGTGAGCCTATGAAAAGCACTACAGATGGTAAGATGACTGAAGGTATCAATAAATATTTAGATGAAGAAAGAATGATAACACAAGAAAGTTCAGTTAAATGTCTATTTGCATTTGATGAAGCCTTGTGCTCTGATTAATAAGAAGGTTGAAAAGGAAACCTTGTTCTTCTAGCATCAGGAAAATGGGTACAAATATTATGCGTATATAATACACAATTGCAGGGATTAAGCATATAATATGCATACAAATCGCATATTTTTTTATGTATGCAAATTGTACATATATTATATGCTTAATCCCTGCAATTGCGTATTATATACACATAATATTTGTACTCATTTTCCTGATGTATATTCATTGTGCTTTAAAAATTTACCCAAAAAGATAGGAATTTTTGCAATCTTTACAGATACTCACTCAAATATTTCAAACTTCTCACCTGTCTCCTACCTTGATCTGTCAAAAAGGGTTGCAGAAAGAGGATCTCAATTATTTGAGCCATTTTATTTGTTAGACACTGTGGATGTGAATACCAATTTTAAAAAAGTACCAAACACTGAAAGAGTCTGAAGATCCACATCATTTTTTTCAGTATGGAAGACCTTTGTGGGATGCACTATTAACACCTAGCAGTACTGAAGGATTCAAACCAGAATGTATTATTGAATTAGCCATGGATAAGCTTATTGGTGGGAAGTCTTTCATTCTTTGGAAAAAAGAAGCTCAAAACAGAATTACTATTATGGAAACTTTGGCTATCTTTGGACCTCATTTATGTATTGACATAGTGCCACAATCTAGATATGCATCTCATTTAATAGCAAGTTATATGCACCTTTGTCTTGATATCTCAGAAGATCGTGAATGCATTATTACATCAATGCCTACTGAACCTGTGCTGGCAGAAGCAGCTTCTCAGATAATGAATGATTCAAATGTCAACCTCACAAAACTTATTAATCAGCTCTCATCAGCACTCAAGAAAGGTGTAATAGAGGCTGGTTACCATGGAGAACTTGCTGCCAGATTATTGCTTCTTAAAGCTTGGGATGATTGTAATAAAAAGAAACATCCAAATAGCACAGATGTTGGCAATGATTATTCTCATTTTGTGACTATGAATTAATTTTTTAAATCACTACTTACAGATGATGTTTATAGAAGAATAGAGAATCACCTTGAAGAACAAGTAAAGTTTACAGGAACAAAGTTTGGTGAAGCATACATTAAGTTTACACACTTTATCAATATTACATATACACCAGATAGGAAAAGTCTCAGTGATGCTCTGATCTGTGGTACTGCATTTTCATGTAAATGAAATCAACGGGTAGTAGATATCATTATACCTATATATATATAGGCGCTCTTCATGAAAAGCTTAGCAAAGATCATATTTCATATGTACTAATACAAGTTAAAAATTGGTCTACAGATAATAATAAAGGTGATGATTATCCGCTCTCTGCAACAGCTTCACCGCCACCAGCATATATAGGCATTGAGGAACTTCCACATATGCCATTTTTGTCATTGTATTTGCAATTAGGTGCAACAAAAGAGTTTATTGATGTTCCAACAGAATTTTTTAAATCACCTCAAACATGTCAAATTGCTTTGTGCAAGCATAAAATTGAAGAAGTTTTGAAAGATTATCAAACAGATGATGATAAAACAAGCGAAATTTTATTAAGAAGTTTAGAATTGATGACAATAATGATGTCTCAAATGCTGAAATCACAGCATTCCATGAACATTTTCAGAAGCCACTTGCATTATTTGGATTATCTTCAAATATCTATAGTTGCTTGAAACAGTTTACATCAAACCCCACAACCTCATCATTAGATCTCACAAATAGCTTTAAGCAATTATTGACTGCTTGGGTTGATCCCACACTGGGAGAATGTCCAGAAAAAATGAAGATAGTTAAACATATGGAACCATGGGTATACAAGATGGAGCAATGAATTATTTATACTATATTTTTATATTGACATTGTTTTAGCATAACCATAATTTGTTTAATTTGATACAAGCTACACAAATGATAAAATATAGAATTAATACATAGATTCTTGATTATATATCATAATAATTCATAATAAAGAGTGTTGTAATAATAGGATTGATTGTATTGATGCTTGACCTGTTCACAAAAATTATAAGCTAAATCATGCTAATCTTTCAATTAGATATTCATAAAGCTCTAAAACGAGTCGGTTTGACCCAAATGGGACGGGTCAGGTCATGATTTAATTGACCCGGGTTTGACCCAGGTCAACATCATGTTATAATTGCCTTTAAAAGTTCAAAATTATTTTTGAAACTAGTATAGATACTAATAAATGAATAAAAATAAATGGCAAAATAACAA